TCGTTTTTCGCCGCAGGCCAGAAGAAACGCAGGCTCTGGGTACGAGATGGAGGGAGAATCGAAAATAGCCGAAAACGTTTGCGCATGTGTAGAATAGCTTCGATGGCAAGATTTATCCTAGAGTAAAATAAAATTTTATTTGCAAATGAATCTTTTAATAATGTCGCAACATATTCGACGAAGCAGCGCGCAGTAGTGAGATACAGGAGTACTTATTCAAGCCAATGGGAGTACACGAGTACCTTCGCCGCCGTGTCGTCTGTCAGCTTCGTGGCAGGTGCTTTTCGAAATTTCGAATGCATCTTTCAACTGCCAGTTCTTATGACAAATCGTTTCATCTCTTTTTCTAATGGCCTATGATTGAATAAATATTTTCGTCTCTTGATTATCTCTTTCACTTCATGGGACTTACTTAAGATGCCATGACATGACAACGTATCATCAATACAATCTACTTGACTCCTCTTGACTCAGTATCTCCAGATCCTACCTGATCAATGATCTCCTAATGATTGGCTTTTATCACATTATTAGGCCGATGATGGCTTTTGTGCATAAAAAAGAGTAATTCTTTGTTCTTTCAATTTCGAATCCCAAGAAACATTAACCATCGAACCTTAAAGATTAAAAAACTTTTTATATTAAAGATCACCTTTGTCTGCCATACTCTCTTAGGTGAACTGCATACTTATATTTAATTACATATCAATCATTGTTTTGTTCCGAGATGTGTAACAAACTGAATACTCTACCAATTTTTTTCTTCTTCTTCTTCTTCTTTTTATTTATCTTTTTATTTTCACAAAAAGAACAAGGGTCAATATCGTCGTACACTTTCAGAATTCTTTTGATGAAATCTCGATCGTAAGACGTCAATAAAATAATTCAGGTTAAAACTTTCCCCATGGGGCACTTAAATCAATCGCCAGGGTCTCTTTCTTTTTTTTTTCCGATTAGAATATGCTTATTTCAATAAAGTTAGTCACCAAAAACCTAGAAAGCTGTAATCGCTGAGAATCATGGGGAAATGTTTTATATCTAACAAGTCATAAAGCTTTTGACACAAACTGCAGCAGTTGAGGATGCTCAGAGAAGGTTAACTTGTAACTTGTAGAAGATCTCAAGTCCATCAACAGTTATCAAGCGGTTGAAACATGTAAAATGTATCTATCCATAATCCTTGTCGGTCTCAGTTTTGTAGCTTTTCAGGTGACTAACTTTGTTGAAATAAGTGTATACGCTAGTAAATACCTAGTTTTATCTTGACTTTTCTTCATCTTAAGTAAGAAAACTGAAGAAGGACTAGCAAATTCATCTTGGAGCTTAACACATATTTAGAAGAAAAAATCAATAAACAGAAGCAGAACCAGCCAGTTACTGGGAAAGCCTTCAATTTTATCAAACCCTGAAAAAACCTTTGGGCTAATGAAAGTCATGGCACGGCTAACTCACAGATCGAACCTTGAAACAACCTGTGAGCTGATCTAAGTCAGGGCACGGCTAACTCACAGATGGAACCCTGAAACAACCTTTTGGCCTGATCTAAGTCAGGGCACCGTGAGATCGAATTGGAATTTTTCCGTTGAGTTTCAGAGGAAGGAGAAAAGTCTAGATCCCAGAGATGAGAGGCGAGTGCACAAGGACCTGCGGCTCTAGATCGTGTAGCATGAGTAGATTAAGACATAAGAATGTTGTTGGACTAAGTAAATGTTCAATCACCGCATAAAAGGAGGATTCGAGATAAATTTGAGTTTAAGTATCCTGCTCCGTAGAGGAAGTAAAAAACATGAAACTGGCATAAAGACTTTCGGACAAAGTGGATTTTAAAAATACCGTTATCTCTTTTCGTTTTGCTTACCTTGAACAAGCAACAATGCGCAAAAAGAAAAAAAAGGAATTTTTATATGATAAGTATAGCTCGGCAGTAGATTAGTAGTGTTAATAAATCTTGCCATCTAGTGGCTCTTTATTCCAATAATAATTTATGAGGGTACATCTATATACCATGAATAGATTGGTCTTTTTCCTTACCTGATTGTTTTACTTTATGTCAAAGAACCACGAGAAGTTCCTTGTAATGAGCATTCAAGACAAGCCTCTTATGACTGGTGGCGACAATACATAACGACCAAGCACTTATATTGCTGATATGGTCTCAATAACTAATTCTTTAAGATTTCATATTATATTGATCATATTATTGAAAGATATCACGGGGTGGTGCCAAAAATGAGAGAATTCGGCGATTGACAGGAACATTAAATTAATTCTTGGACTGTTGGAGGAAAAGTCAACTAAAGTGCTTTATTCAGATGTAAGCCGGCAAAAGATGGTTCAAAGCGCGAATTTGCGCAAAACTAATTGCATTTTGCGCAAATAAACGCCAAAGAACCTCTAGATCATTCCAATATAGTTATTTGGCTGTTTATAAAGAAGTTATTAAAATAATTACCATATATTGATTTTAAACCTTGGAAAGGCTTTTTCACATCCTCGATTGAAATCCTTACATATAAGTACTCAATAATGGTACTGATGTATGAATTGCTTTTAGTAATTTTAGTTGATCAACAATCTTGGGCAAAAATAGTTGAGAAGTTTTCATCCAATCATGAAGTAGTAGAATTTCCCTTATTGAAAATTTTTATTATCCGTACCCCCTCTCCCCCAGAACAATGTTGGTCCCAGTAGGTAAAGCAGCCCTGTATCCCTCGAAACAACATTGTTTAGGGAGTGAGGGGTCGTTTTAAGGGGAATTTTTCATGTTTTACATGAAAATATCATTAATGCTAAAAGTTTCTCAACATTTTTGACCATGATTGTTTGTAAACGTTTTTTGTAATTAACAGAAATGGGAAACGATTTCAAAGGAATTTATGCATCAAGTAGAAGTAATAGACTAAGAAATTCTAGAAATTGTCACTTCTTAATCAATTAATTGTAATGAATGACGTCCCACGAAGTGGATATCGATAGAAGTCCGAAAAATTGTATTTTGCAAAGTTATTAGTTGGAGATGGAAAGCGTTCGCCATCTGCTTTTTTCAAAAAAAGCCAACAAATTAGTAGATATTGCAAAGGGCGTCAATATTTTTGTCTAGAATCGGTATATAGATAAATAACTTTCAGTATAAAGGCTCTAAAAAGTAAAGAAAAGACAAAAAGCCTGTCAGACCCAGAAAATATACACAACGGATGGAAAGACAACTCAATGTGAATTTAAATCATTATACGAAAGAGAAATCCGAATTTTTGTTATAATTACTGACAAAAACAACATACTAACCAAGAAAATCGTAAATATTATAAATATTATATATATTTTATAAAAATATATTTAGAAATTACAGTATCATATACATTCTGGCCTTGATGGAAACATCTGCTAGTTAGGTTGGCTGCATGTTATTTGATCAGTATGGACCTCATTGGGTCCTCGGTAAATTCATTGCTTTCTTCATCGGATGGTTCTGAGAGTGATTATTCTTTGGATTCGTGCTTCTTGAAAATCTTCACATTTAATTAAACAGTCTTAAGTATATGGTTAACGATCAGCCGCCGCCATTTAAAAGAAAAATGACATCCTTTGTGACTTCAACTGAATCTACATGAAATATACAGCAGTCGGGATAACAAAATTTAACAACTTATATATTGCATTGTGAAGGTTTTCTATTGCAATTATTTTTCCTTATTATCATACGAAAGGGATGTGTAAAACAAGAAAAATGAGTTATTGAATATGTATTTCGCGATTCATGGCAAGAATTGATGATTTCTACCATAGACAGATCTAAGACAATCTTGGACAAAAATATAGTTGAGAATTTTTCATCCAATCATGATGAAAAATCCGACGAAGGACTAGCGTCCGAAACGTCAGTAAGTTTTTTCATCTTTTCACGGTGTATAATTTACCTTTTCATCATTACTGTTTCATTAGAAACACCGACGCAGCTCACACTAGTTTTTAGCTAGTTATATCTATCTATCTTAATATATAATAATAATTAGGCTTGTGTAAATAACCTTGCACAGGGTCTTAAGTCAGTGAAATTAATTGGCAACTTTAAGCATAATTAACTATGCTTTAAGTCATAGTGAAGTCATCAAACCCGTGAAATAGATATTTAAACACATTTTAGTACACTTAAATTCCATTGTTTTTTTTATTACACATTGACTAATAATTTTTATTTCACGGGTTAAACGTTTTCTTGATTTATACAAGTCATTTAAATGTGAACACATGAAACTAAACCCCCGTTTACACTGGCGATTTTTGCGGCGATTTTTGTGGCAATTTTCGGAAATATGAAATCTTTTGTCTCATCCTTCAAAAGAGACATTCGTCTANATAGACTAAGAAATTCTAGAAATTGTCACTTCTTAATCAATTAATTGTAATGAATGACGTCCCACAAAGTGGATATCGATAGAAGTCCGAAAAATGGTATTTTGCAAAGTTATTAGTTTGAGATGGAAAGCGTTGGCCATCTACTTTTTTCAAAACAAAAAGTAGTAGATATTGCAAAGGAGGTCAATATTTCTCTACAATCGGTATATAGATTAACATGATTGAAGATTAAAGAATTTTTAATATGATCATTTTTATTTACCTTCTTCTCTTCCTCCTCCTCCTCCTTCTTTTCCTTCTCCTCTTCCTCCTCCTCCTCCTCCTCCTCCTCTTCCTCCTCTTCCTTTTCTCCCCCCTCTTCCAATGCTTCTTCTTCTTCTCAGTTTTTTATTAACAATGAACAAATTTGAAATTTTGGATGAGTCATTAATGTACGTGAGTGGTACACTATTTTTCCTTCTCTCTTATCTCTTTTTCAATTGATTTCGTTTAACATCGCAAAGCTCCTCTTTATCCATCAAATACCATTTACTCATTCATCACTTAATATTTTCCAAAAAATATGACCTTCAAAATTATCTTCCCTCGGCCCAAACCAGTTCCTCCATTTACAGCCATTTAGAAACTATAAAAGACCAAAGACATTTTGAAGACGAACTTAAATAGCAATTTTAATAGCAATTTTTTAGTGGGTTAAGATTCAAAAATAATACAACTTGTAAAGGCTTATGGTTACAACATGCTTGCAGTCTTATCGTTACAGACGCTTCGGGTATATTTTACATTATGGTAAAGTAGCCTTTATTTCATTTACTTTTTATAAAAACTAATATTTTGTGACTTTTACAAAAATCTCTTTATATCTGATTAAAACTTCTTTTCATTAAAACTAGTCACTACTCATGTTAAGGTCGGTTGCTAGGCTACGTTGACGTGAATTCCTGATAGCGTTAATTCTGCGTATAATGTTGTTAGCCCTCTGGTCTTCCTTCGCTGCGCCATCATACGGGCCACTCTCAAAGCAAAGGCCCTTACCATCGTTGCATGGAACTAGGCGATCGAATGTCCTCTTTCCCTCGTTTCCTCTTCGCTGTATTAATAATGATAAAGATAAAGTTAACGTGCGTTTCGCTTAAAATGATACATGAGCCAGCCTCAAAGAAAATATGGCGACCTTATCCATTCTTCTTCGTTTTGTCCCTCTCGTCTTTCTTTCCTTCATTTTTTCCCTTCCTTTTTTCTTTGCCATTCACATCTGATTTAGGAATTAGGGAATACCAAGAATATGAAACAACCTAACTTTATGAATTAACACAAAGAGAGACTAAACGAATATAACAAATTTGTACTCTATTACTGACGAGATAGACGTGTACATCTACATGCGGCATACGACATTGCTAGGTATGTAATTTAATAGCATGGTGTGTAGAGATAATGGTTCCATGGTCTTGCCGATATCTTATACAAATATTTGTTATCGCGAATTTTTTTATAATCAGTTGCCACTCTATTTAATAAAACTTTTGCGGAGTGTTATGATGCGGAAGCTCCGCAAAGATGGTGATTGCAGTTTGACAAGCTACAAATTTATCGAGTACCTTTAAACCACCTCTAGGCTGATCTAAGTCAGGGCATAGCTAGCTTACAGTTTGAATCCTGAAGCAACCTTTGGGCTAATCAAAATCAGGGCATGGCTAACTCACATATCGATATCCTGAAACAAACTCTGGGCTTATCAATGAGGGCATGGCTAACTCACAGATTGGAAAACTCGGAGTCACAATTTGAAAATAGTTATCAAGTTGACGAGCAAAGCGAAAAAGAAAACAAATCGGTGGTCCAAAAAGTTAAGTGGTCGGTTTGAGAACGCATTAACTGCCCCAAAAGACCTCTTTAGCTTGAGCGTAATGTTTTCCCATTGCAGACCACTTGTCATTCTCAAGAGACACATAAATATAGATACAAATCAAACGAAAAATCGTATTTTCTAGAGAATGACTCGTGGGCTGAAATGGGAAAACATTATAGCCAAACTAAAGAGGTCTATTTCAATGGCCCTTATTTGATATCCGCTATCAGAAAGAAAGTTGAATTTCGTGATCATACGATCTTACGTTGGCCATCCAAAATGGCGGCGAAATAACAGTCATTAGTCAAATAGCTACCTTATACCTGTCTGTTGATTTATGACTTACGGTTTGCTAAGTCGATGTCAATTAGATCGAGGGCCTATCTAGAACCCATTTGCTTAAGTGATTTTCAAGAAGTTTCCTCAATAGTTTAGGCAGAACTTCAATTCCACTTAAATTTGTTTAGGAATTTGGAAACAGTGGCGGATCGAGAATGACTTCAGGGGGGTGACTCTACAATAGATTTTATAGTAGATACTATTTGTTCTTATTATGTTCGTTAACTTATTTGACATTTTTCGTTAAGCTTAAAAGTTTTTGTTTTTGTACGCTGGTATATATATTAGTCTTGGTCTTCGTCAATATGTTTTCCTTGTTATAGTTATAGTACATATATTACATGTTTGGTGTATTTTTATCTTGTTTTGGCGCAATATGTTAAAGTATATTTATCCTTCTGACTTGTTTTTAGCTTGTGTGTTTTCTCCACATCGCGTTAGAAAACTCTCCTAATATCTCACGTTTTCTCCGAATTTTTTTGTAATCTGCTTGATAATGTTTTCGTAATCATACATGTCTCTTTTCTTAGTAATTCCCTGTAATCCCTATTCAAAATTAAAAATACTATTGATATCATACAACGTGTTTTTATTCACTAATAAATGTTTTTAAATTAATTTCCTTAATCATTCAAATATTTTATCTTTCATACAAATTTTGTTTTTTCCACTATTGTTTTTTTTTTTTTCTGTTTTGCTTACTCGTAGTACGACGCATACGCTATTTCCTTGTTACAGTTCAAAACAGTGCGTCATATTTTGGTGTTCAAAGAGTGTCTTGTATTGTATGATTCTAATTTATTTTTGTTTTTTTTGAGAATGCTTTAGCTACCACATAAATATTTTTTCCTAGTTTGTGTTTTACGATATTTTTGTTATACATAATAGTATACATTTTCACTTGAATAAACGTAGTTTTCAATTTAAAAAATTATTATAGTGTCTAATTATAGGGAACCAAATCCGCTCCTAATACCTTGAATACAGAATCTACAAATTAAAAAGCTAAAGTTAGAAGCCAATCAATCGATCAGCTCCAACACCTATCGGTATCGCTAGCTGCCCAGCTCAGGAAAATAATCAGATTACCGGACGAATTCGAACTGATGGTCAGTGGAGAGTGATTGTATTTACTTGCTCGAACCTGCTCCAGTGGCATTTATTCGTGATAAAAAAAACACTCCCAGTGCACTAACCATTACACGCATTCAGTTTTCTTAAAACGAACACACATTTGCTACTGGTTTTTTTTTTTTTTTTAATTTTTTATTCCTAAGTTTCTTGATTTTAAGCAACCGGGAGAGCTATGACTCTAACAAGATCCCGGCAGCAGCGTTAGACTAATCGACGTGGAACAAATTGTAAACTAATTGCGCACAATCTTACTGTAATTTCGTCTTTCCGATTAGAGTAACAAATACAACTAACTACGTACATGAATTCGAAACAAATGGATCGTAGTAAAAATATAACATGCCAAATATACTGTTGATTTGAGGAACGTTGCGCGTACATCAAGTAAAACCTTCATGTCGGATGGTCGCGTATAAGTGACGACCAAAAAAATCCCTATAAATTTATTAACACAAACCACTCCTTCATTTGACTGCATTATTTCATTCTTTAAATTCAATCGAAATTACAATAACCTTTGCTTGTAATGCCTGGGCGGGTTAGTTGTCGGTGTCTGACCGAATTTCATTTCTACCGCTGTGCTCATCAAGGAGACAAAAGAAGGAAGGTTGTTGAAGCAATAACACAACCAGGGAATCCTAGCCCAACAAACCGTTTTAAAGTCAATTAAACCTTAAAAACAACGACAAAGAAGGCATTGTGTTGAACTGAGGTTTGACAAACCTACACGAATGCAGTCTGAAATCCAGGTGCTTTATTTTTGGCGCGTCGATGTTTACCGAAGATAGTGAACTGTATGAGTGAAGGATGTATACTTTCAACGCAGACAATGGTAGAATGAATGGATATGAATGAAGGATCTATATATTGCAATATTGGCCTTATGAAAACTAAATAAATGAAGAAACCGATGAAACCGTACAAGGCACTTGTCTGATTCATCACAAATTTAATAAACGTGAAACATTTTAATTGAAAAAAAAAAAATCCAGAATCACTGAATCAAAATGAACTCTCAAATTAAAGTCCCGAGCAGACACTGTGCGATTCTGTGCCATGCTTGATATTTTTCGACTAGCAAAGGAAACACTACAAATAGCTCGATATTTTTCTATAGCAAAAGAAACACTAAAAATAGCTCAATAAAACCATTTAAGGTATTGCCTCATTTGGCGATGACGGCTAAGTTAATTTATCTTTATTCTAAACTTGTAGTTTGATCACTTCCTTAGATTTTTTAGTTTCCATTAAACGAAATGCTCCAGCTGTATACACATAGATTCAAGGATAATGAACTTGGAGCGACGTTTTCAAGAGCAACAAGTACCTGGTCCTTATTCCTGAGGCTAGTAAAACACAACGATGACTAAATAAACAGCGTCTTTTTAAGGTTAAATGAGTTTTACGTTCTTGTGCTTATATTCCAATGAGATGCTCTTCCGCTCGCGTCTTGACAGCCACGAGTAAATTGAGATTTTTAATGCATAGATAGGGAAGATAACATTGCGATAGAGCCACGTGCTGTAAATTGTACTGAACTCAAAACATGAATTATCCTTCATACACATGTGTTTGTGCTGCTTGAAACCCACTTTAGATCCGTAACAAACAAGGAATCGTTAAAATATTTGGAAGCTTAATGAGAATCATTAAAGTGCAATCCATCTTAAATATTTCTAAACACAATTTCATGAGAAATTTGTGAATTAGGAAAAAAAAATTTTCGATTGCCTTCCAAAATCCATCTCATATTAATTTGTTACCTTAATTTAATGGAAGGCTCATAATGTATTCGTTTCAATTTTAGTTGTTTTTTTTTTTTTTCTTCTTTTCTTTTTTTTTTCTTTTGCTTTTCTTTTTTCTTCTTTCTTTAATTCTCTTGTTTTTTCTTCAATTATTTCTTTTGTCTTTTATTCTTTTTGTAGAAGAGAATAAGAGAACTTCAGAGATGTATATAATTAAGTACAGAACTTAATTTCTTTCCATTTTTCGCACGAAATATAGGATTAATGAGGCAATTCCTAATACACTGAATGTATATTATGTTTCAAAAACATAATTTTTCAATAATTTTAAAGCTATTTTCTAAGTTAAAAAATTGAATTGCCAATAAAACAAGCTACATTAGATTTCTTAAAGATCTTTTTTTGAGAAAAATATTGAACAGTAATCATTGAGTAGTAGCCAACTTAATTTGTCATACATTTTTGTACAAAATCAATTAATTTTTAGAATGAAGTCATATAATTCTTAATACAATAAACTTGATAATATCATTTATAGATTTTATTTCAAGTATTTTTTGAAGTAAAACAACATTATAGTTGACGGCAAATCTCTCGACAGTGTCACTCATTACCGACGTCCAAGCATTATGATAATATTTAGAATATGTACCTGAAATCCCGAAGGAAATCCTCTTGGTGTTTTTTATAAAATTTAAACTATTGTTTGGTTTCCTTTGTTAGTGCGGACGGAAACACAAACCACTAACTTAGTAGTCATGATTTTTTTTTTTTTTACATTCGAGATTTCATAGCCTGGATTCTTTATTTTAAATCTTTTTGCTGTTCATTAACTACTTTTCATATATCGGTTTACAAAGAAAGTAAAGAAACGTTTTATATTATATTGTATAGTATATACTACGCGATCACCATAGTTTAAGAATACGCATTTTAAAACAAACTGTAATCTCATAAAATAGATCCCAAATGATTATTTTATGGGGATTAATAAGAAATTCAAAAAGAGCTCTATTCCGAGAGGTTTCCAAAAGACACATCCGGCAGAAAGCTTAACAAAGTTTAAAGCGGCTTAAACTCCTGTCTGCTCACTGAAAACGCTTTGCTTTCGAAGATTAGTACATATTCTTAATAGATTTGTACTAAAATGATTTTAGTAGCTTATCGTGGCAGTATAGTGTCAAGGGAGGTCCATTTCAATAACGTACTGTTCGATAACATATTTAAAGACTAACACTGATCTTTTTTTCTTATTTTACTAGTACGATGGCTGCGAACAAGACTGCGGTCTCAACATCTATGATCAACTCATCCTGAGCTGCGCGTCTGCCGTAAGAAGGAAAGCGTAAAGGTAATTTAATGGCAATTACTGAAATGAACTTGAATCTCTCATAAAATGAATGGACATAATTAAGAACTACATGTCATAATATAATCACCGGGTTGACTGTACTTTGATTGACCGTCTGCTTTTAAAACGGACTCCCTTGACACTGATGACATGCAGACTTTTCTATAGCTTACAAACTGACTCGCGTAAAAGGAATATCTGAGTACGTTAGTCTTTATACTGCACAAAAACCAAATATTGCATAAAGTTAACGACAATCATTCTATACTTAGCTCACAAAAGAATCTGCTTCGTAATATTTACAGAATGAGCCCAAAATCTAAATTCAAGCTTATTTTAAGTTCCACAAACAAAGGAATAAAAAGCTTCTTCTAATATTTTTGAATGAGTCTTTCTTCGAACAAAATTCTTTTGAAAAAACTACCTTAATTTTTTTTTTCACTGAACATACTGTGAGAAAGCCAAATCAAAACCACAAACGTTGTAGCCCGCGGTCATAATACTCCGATTCGGTAAAATTAAAATTGAACAGACATTTTCCACCATTCTTTAACGGCGTCGACGCCTTAACTAATTATGAAAATTAGCCACGTTATCTTAACAGGACAAGTTCGTTTTATGTTCTAGAAAGTGGACGAACCTTAAATCAGCAACAACCACTCGAGGTTGAGATAAGAAAAGGAACAAAACAATAGGCCTTCCTTAGTGTTCCTTGATTACTATAATACCAATGAATATTCTGTTCACTCATTCCCTTGGTATCCGGTAATCAAAAAGAGATGTATAAACAATATGCAAGAGCACCGGGTGTAGTATTACAGGCGGGTATTAATAAATAATCTTGATTGAATGTGGCCAACGCTATGTTTGAGTTTATAATCTGTGCGCAAACTTTTAGTTTTCTTTCTTTCATTCATTGGTTTTTTTCTTTCTTTCTTTCTTTCTTTCTTTCTTTTTTTCTTTTTTTCTTTCTTTCTTTCTTTCTTTCTTTCTTTCTTTCTTTCTTTCTTTCTTTCTTNTTTCTTTCTTTCTTTCTTTCTTTCTTTCTTTCTTTCTTTCTTTCTTTCTTTCTTCCTTTTTCGAATACTAACTTTTTTTCTTTCTAGCTTTCTTTCTTTCTTTTCGTTTTATTATCTTTTTTCCTAGTCAGGGTTTTTCATTCTTAATCACAAAAAAACCTATTTGGATGACACAAAAGTGAGTGTTGATGATAGTATTGCATAGATTTATCGTTAGCCCAACCTTCAGCTTATACATAGTATATCTTTCGCTCGTTCTCTATTACATATTTCATTCTTTTCCCATTCTCTGTCTTTCCTTCGTTCCATAAATTTCTTTATTTTACATTCGCGATCCTATCCGCTCTGTAATATGTAAACTTCGCAGAAAAACTGAATTAACGGTCGGTTACACAAATATCCTCAAATGTATGAATTGTTAATTCGTTATTAAGCACTTGCTCGTTCAGTTATACTTTTAAATCAGTTTCCAACGTAAATTATTAAGTTTAAGAAGTCTATTGGAATAGAAAGTTTCAGCCTACTTCTACTATCTTGTTAGTGCAATACTGTCTACTAAGATAATATATTTGAAAAACGTCATAAACGCTTACCGACTCATAGCTTGCTAAATTATGAATATCAGTGTGTAGTTTACCTTTTTATAGCCTTGATCATGGAGTTTCATGGGACAGTTGTGGTTATTGCATGAAAATGCTTCTGACAAAGAAAAGTTGACAAGAACTAGACAGACAACTAACAAAAATGCTACTTCACTCTTCATTTTCTCTTAAGCTTTTGTTCTTCCGTTAAGGTGTCTGTCCTCAGGCCTCCTTCGTTCTGTCCTTCTTGTCTGTGGTGGTAAGTGGTGGTTAGACCAAACCTTTATATAGCTGCAAAGCGTCCACTAGCTGCTGACGTCATGAGGTATTTTGATTGGCGGTTTACCAATACTTTAATTTCTGTTTACAAAAAAGATTTCCATGATTGCCGAAATTACTGAAACACTGAACACGGAAGTGCTATAAGACAAATGGGGGAACTAGAGAATCTTTCCTGTCCAGGGTGGGGTAGGGAGAAGGGGCATCGTTATCTGCTTCTTGAGCACACAGGATCGGAGTAATCTTCAACAAATGCAATGTTTTTTTTTATATTACGTACTACTTTTAAAAAATAAACGATTTATATTAATTAATGAATAAAATATTGAAGCCAATATTACATCCGTTTATTAGCATGAACAAGAAAGTTTTAGATCATACCAAATTAAAAATTTTGTTCGTTAACCGGAAGCCACTCAGTCCGCTCCACTTTCGAAACTAAAGGAAAAAAGGAGGAATGAAATATGATGCTACCGCTAGTCCGTACGAAAGAGAAATGAAATTCTCGTTATTACATTCCTCGGAATACTCTTAGTCACGCCGTCAAAATTAGCGGTTTTGAAGTTCCTTTAAGACGTCGAGATTCTCAATAGGAAAGTTTTTCATATAAGCTTATTTGTTACTGATGAATCGTTGAATGCGTGAACAGGTCTGGTACGAACGCACGTTTTTGATTAGTAATAATTTCCAAAATGTTCCCTTTTCTTTCCTAAAACATTCATACCATCAGTCAAGAGCTGAGCCAACCAATAAACACTGTTTACCTATATATGCACTTAACTCCACAACAATCCATTGATTTCAAAATAGTAGTTTATTGATAATACTCAATGTTGTTTTTTGTATCCAGCTGGTTCCTTTAGAAGTGATGCTTGCTCCACGAGCTGCTAATAATATCTTAACAATTTGACGAATTATTATGTAAATATAATGCCGGATAAATAAAAAAAAGAGACTCTAAGGCATCGTAAGTAGGTTTTAGAACGCTCTTAAATTGCAATAATAATATTAATTTGTCTATTCTTTCAGCTTTGTTCACGTTTTTTTTTTTTCAATTTTAGTAATTAAACAGCCTCTTTATTTTCAAATGACAGCTTAAAGATATTAATTCTTCTCAAATTCATGGCGAAAACGCTGAAAATTGTGCATTAGCTTCTCCTGGTTTTCCTCCCTCCGCAAAACATAAAAATTTCAGTTTCAATTCGATCTGCGAGTTATTCGTGCACTGAACTAATTTGATTACACCAGAGTTTGTTTTTAAAGGTAGTATAGTATACCTGAAAATATATACATATGGTCATCGAATATCAGTACATATTCACAAGCCGATTCCGTTTGTAAATTTAAATTTGAAAATATATACGTATATTTATACAGTAATGATAAAAAGGTAAATTATACACCGTGAAAAGTCTTTCGTCGGAGTAAAAGCCTACGAAACGTCAGTAAGGTTTTTCATCTTTTCACGGTGTATAATGTACCTTATTATCATTACTCAGTTTCATTAGAAACACAGACGCAGCTCACACTAGTTCTTAGCTAGTTATCTCTACGTATATTTATATATACTCATTCATAGAATATTATACATAGTCACAAGCCGGTTCCGTTAGGGTAAATTTAATAAATTGTTAACATTTCCATTCAGCAATATCACTTTAAAATATTGTGTGAAATATCTAAACGTTTGTTATTTTGGCGTTGATTGCCTTTTATCCAAAGCGACTGATGAATGATTGTCCAACATTTTCTACCTAGTATACCCTATCTTCATCCTATAATTGCATCGACCCTTCTACCTGCCTTTCTTGCGCATGCGTGCCACCTCGTTTTTTGTTGTTTTTTTCTCAACGAGCTTTAGGCGATTATATTCTGAAACGACCTCTCCAACTTCGATTTTTTTCCTGTAAGAAAAGATTATTTCAAAAAGTTTGATAGGAAGTGTTCAGCGTTAACTTCCTAGACAGGGCCCAGAAAAGCCATTAAAGGGTTAGGGGAACAAAGAATGAACACTGGATTTGTAGCTTGACGTAGGACACCATGAGGAACAAGATTTAAGTAGGGATAGCTTGTCAAGAACCGGAAATGGAGCCTTTTTTTTTTTTTTTTTTTTTTTCCCCGTTGGGGGGGGGGGGGGGGGGTGTTTTTTTTTTTTTTTTTTTTTTTTTTCCCCGTTGGGGGGGGGGGGGGGATACTTTAGTAATAATGAATTGTTTAATGATTTGGAAACAAATGCGGAACTCATCGCTTTTGGTAAGCAAAGAAATCGCATACACCTCAACACCATATCGATAGGTTTTCACGACCTCTCCATTCTTTTATCTGTTCTCTTTGACTTTTAAATTTATTTTTACTCGAAAGGAAAAAGGTTTTTGTCCTAATCAGGCGTTTTTGCTTTCCTTTTTCTTTATGTACTTATGCTTTTAGTTTAATTTGTAAAAGATACCATCAGATTATTGAATGATTACTTGATATTAAGCCATATTAAAATACTGCCCGCAAGCAAGAATTACCGCTATTGACTTAAGATTTGTTTTTCGTAACCAACTTTAAGAGCGCCAGTTTGCGTCCAGAAAGGTCAAGTTAAACTTATTAACTCAGTATTCTTTCTTTCTACTGCAAGCAACTATAGTCGAGATTAGAATTTTTTTATTGATTAGGGATATTAGTTTAGGTAGGCTAGTTAATAATATATGTAGGTATATAGCCAAAGGGTAAGCAAGGCATTTTGTTGGTCAGTATTATTGCGTCAGTATTGCGTTCTATGTCTACTTTCCAGGCTTTCATGATTAGTACTTCAGTCTTCAACTTTAACTTCAACTTTATGTGCACTCTGGAATGTATTAACGAGAAATATGAATATATAAGAAAGTTACAGAAAGCACTCCTTCTCCTTTACTTTCTTCTTCTCTTTTATCCAAAAGAAGACCTATTACCAACAGTTAATTACTTCTTCTTGTTCTTCTTGTTCTTCTTCTTCTTCTTGCTCT